ATATATATATATATATATATATATATATGTATATATACATATATATGTATATATATATATATATATATATATATATATATATATATATATATATATATATATATATATATATATATATATATATATATATATATATATATATATATATATATATATATATATATATACCTGTATATATATATTTCTTTCCTTGGGTAAATTAGTAATTAATGGAGATATGAGTAAAATTACTTAGGTTTGGTTAGGTTAGGGTAGGCTAAGTTAGGGTATTATAATTGTTTTGGTCATCCAGCAAATTTTAGGATTTTAAATTTTGGAATCAATCGGGTAGTTTAAATAATTTTATGATGCATTTCTTCTATAGCATTTCTTCCATTTGATCTTTGGTTACTTTTATGCATTACGCATGCACTAGAGTGACACATGCGCAGCTGTTCTTTGGACGTTGATTGGTGGGTATGATTTTGGATAACACATTTACAGCTTGGTATTGGCCTCCGTTGCCACCTGCTTGAATTTATTTCCAAAATGTCTCCCTTATGCAATTGCTGTGATTTCAATTATACTTCCAAACCATCGCCAGATTTCACATCGATTATTACGGTAAAGACGGAGAAGCATGGACATATCTACACGAACACGGTGTTCTACCTACAGAAGTTACTTGCGTAAGGTGTAACACGCCTTGTAGTTACTGAGATGAAAAACACCTTTGGTATGGTCTGAGAAGAATTGTTATTCCCAAATCTAAACAAAGTCTAATTAAGGTAAGCACACAGGTGGATAGGTTAGGTTTAGGGTTTGGTTAGATTAGGTTCAGTTAGGTTAGGTTGTGGATGATTCTGATCTTCATTTCCATTGCAAATTACTACTTTTTGTGATTTTCCCCCCCACCCAAAACACCTGGTTCCCACTGGGCGTCCCCCATTATTGTTGGATAAGGGAGCTAGGGTAGCTCAAAAAGTAGTAATGTGGTGTAGAAATGAAGGTCAGAATCGTTCAAAACACATAAAAAATCATTGGAAAAACATAATTTCAACTTGCATCAAGAACTTGGAAGAAAATATGACGATTTTCCAACAATTAATTGCGATTTACTTGGAAAGTAATCATGAGCGGAAATGCTATAGAAGAAAAGTGTCTTAGAATTGTCTAAGCTACTTATTCCAAAACTTAAAATCCTAAAATTTGCTGGATGACCTAAATGATAAATTTATGTGGGGTTAGGTTAGGTTAACTTAACTTAACTTAACTTGAACTTTTGAATAAACACTTTTTAACACATTTACCATAACTACGATAATGTCCACTATAACACACAGTGAAATTGTTACGTTTTTAAATTCGTTTTCAATTAAAAATCAGTGGCTTTGGAGTTGTAAATAATTACCAGGTTTAGTTATGAGAATAGTTTTTTGTTTATTTAGAAGTATTTTATTCAGACATGACCATTTCTTGTGCAAATGAGTGAAATTTATTTTATTTTTATTTTTTTATTGAATTTTTTGTTTGTTTTTTGAAAATTTGCTCATTTGCCCCCAAAATGAAGGTCAGATTCGAGCAAAACACACTTAAATACATACACACACAAAAAAAACTACTCTCTAAACAAAAAGTAGCCACAGCCATTAAATGAATATTTACCCATTAGGTTCGATTGGGTTATATTAGGTGGTAATTATTGACGACTGACCTGCCGCCGATTTTTCATAGAAAACGATTATAAAAATGCCACAATTTCACTGTGTTTTATAGTGAACACTGTCGGAGTGTATGCAAATGTGTTAAAAAGTGGTTATTTATAAATTAAACATAACCTTAGTTATACGTAGTTTATATTTTGCCATGACCGGCTAAGTTCCTACTAACGCTATTTTATTGTGAGTGTGCTCCGATTGGCTAAGTACTTTCTGTTTAATAAGACGGTGGTCTGCACCCCAGCTAGAAAGTTATGTAAGATTAGGTAGGTTTTTTTGGTTGGTTTGCTCAGGATCTATTAGGTTCTAGTAAATGTCACCTCTGTTACAATGATAAGAACTTTTGTGAAAACATGAATAACATTGAACAGCTCCTTTTGGTGCTAGTGGTGTTCTCAGACATTATTGTATTTTTAACCTTTTTACAAGTTAGGTAAGGTTAGATAGGGTTTTCAAAGGTTTATTTGGTGTTCGTTTTAGTATTTTACACTATATTTTCCCTCTACTGCCCACTTTGAATGACCAATATTGTTGGTACGTGGGGAGGTCTTATCGGTTAAAATACTCAAA